CCCATTTGAGCCATTACAAACAGTTTCCCTCTCTCCTATCCCTCTCTTCCTATCTTTCTTCTCTCCTCTGCTTCCCACTCTTCCTCTCTTTCACTTGGTGTATTTCAGCTTCTGAGCAAACTCCCTTTTGTGTTGATGGTATTTATAATTCCATTTCAGCAAAAGTCCTGGTCTTTCAAAGTGAGTCCAGACAATTGCCCTCCTTCCTTCCCCAAATCATGACTCTGTTGAATTATCAACAGGATTTACAGCAGCCATCCAACTTGGCTTGCTTGGAGACCAGGAGCCGCCATCCCCCCACCCCCGGGGGTATGTGGGGGGGTGGGCTTCCCTGCAAACCCGCTTCCCAGCCAAGCTGAATTTCTATTATTATTAATAATAATATTTTATATATTAATCATAATAATAATAATTTGGGGGAAAGTAGACGGGCACAGGACTCCCCAGCCACTAGGATGGAAGTGGATTCAATACATACTTGCAAAAAGCTGCTGGAGTCTCCCCTTCTTCCGGGCACGCCCCCTCCCAGGACACGCCCCCTCGGGCGCCTCCCTCTTCCTCGCCTCGGTGGAGCAAACAAGGCACAGGCGAGTTGAAGGGGGGGGGAGAGGGCGTCGCGCGGCTGTGACGTCATTCCTGCCGCGCGGCCGTGGCTGCTGCGTGACGTCGACGTCCCGCGCCGCCGAGCGCCCCTTCGGCGCGGAGGAGTGACGCGCGGGACAGGCAGCCCGGGCGACGCGCTGAGGAGGAGGAGGGGATCGCGGAGGGGGGAGGCGAGAGGGGCTGCACTCTGTACATGCTCAGAGACGCCGGGTGTGCACTCTACTAGCCTGCTCGGGAGCCCGGATGGCGGGGGCGGGCCGAGGGCCTCCGCAGAGCCTGCGCCTGGAGAACGCCTCGCTGCTGTCCGAGGGGGCCCTGCAGGACGGGCACCGCCTCTGGATCGGGAACCTCGACCCCAAAATTACCGAGTGAGTCCGGCGGGGGAGGGAGGGGTGGGGCGGTTGGGGGGCGGCAGACGACCCCTCAGTCCCCCTGGGTGGAGCCCAGGCCCCTCCCCTCTCGAAGGAGGGGGAGGAGGGGGCGTCCTTCCCACTGGGGTCTCCTGCCGTCCCCTCCCCAGCAGAGAAGCCCTCCTCCAGTCCCCGTCCCCTTGGAGCTGCTCCTGAGCCCCTTTCCCTGCCTGCGCCCCCACCCTCAGGACCCCCGTGGGGGAGGGGAAGACAGCCCCCCTCCCCAGCCCAAAGACCCTCCTTGCATCCCCTCTTTGAGCTGCTCCTGAGCCCCATTCCCTGCTTGCGACGTCTGCCCTTGGCCCCCACCCTCGGGACCCTGGCGGGGGGGGGAAGGCCTACAAGGGAGCAATTGCAACCCCCCCCCCAATCCCAGCCCAAAAGACCCTCCTTGAGTCCCCTCTTTGAGCTGCTCCTGAGACCTTTTCCCTGCTTGGGATGGCTGGACTTGGCCCCCACCCTCAGGACTTTCATGGGGGGGGGAAGCCCTCCAAGAAGGCAATTGCAGCCCCCCTCCCTCCCCATCCCAGCCAAAAGACCCTCCTTGAGTCCCCTCTTGGGGCTGATCTGCTTCTGAGCACCTTTTTACCTGCCTTGGACGGCTGGCCTTTGTCCCCTTGATCTGGACCCGGGTGGGTGGGTGGGTGGAGCGCAGGGCAGCCCCCTCCAAGGCAGCAAAGACAAACCCCCCCCCCCCTGTGTCTCTAAGGCTGCAGCTGCCTGTGCCCCTCCCTTCTCTCCCCCCCCCCCCCCCGCTCTGTTTCTGGTGGCATCAAACCCGAAGTGGATGCGCGTTTGACATTCCCTTGGCCTTCCGTGATTAGTGCATTTAAATTGCCTGCTAACATGTTTGAGCCCCTTGAAGTGGGGCAATTAAACACCGAGGAGGAGGAGGAGGTGAGCTTGATTGCCGGGAGGGAGATTAGCCAGCGGCGTTGGGGCAACCGCTTTCCCCCCCCCTCCACCCCCACTTTGCCAAACAATCTCCGATTTATGCATTCCAAGTGGCTGTCTTGTCTTATCTCCCCGATATTGTCTGCCTCTCAGCTGTGGAAGCAATTTTTGCCCGGCTCCGTCTTCTTCTCCCATCCGCAAGTGGTTTTTTTGTGTTCCAAGGGCTCTTCTTTTCAGCTGGGCCGAGTCCTAATCGCGCCTCTAAGTGGGAATCCGTCATTAATGCCCTCTTGACGAGGATTCATTCAGGGCTGCGCTAACCGGCCTCTTCTCTCTTTTGCATTAATTACCATTTTTTGGCTCAGTGTTTGTATTGCCGAGGCTTCTCGGGGTTGAGCAATTTGGTGGCGGCTGCTCAGCTGACGGGCGCCCGCCAAAAGGGAAGGCTTTTCAGCGCGTGGATTTGTGTTGTGAAGTTTTTGGAAGTTAAAAGCATCCCCGAGCACAAGGAGATTGGCAGGCTTGGGAATCTGAGATTCATTTCCCCCCCCAGCCGTTGCTTAGAGTTTTCGGTTCTGCAAAATGCTATGATATAACGGTACGAAGACCCTTCGAGGCCTCCCAAGCAGGTGCGATATGGAACATTTGGCATTGAGGCCCACTTGATTTACGTTTTATGCCGCGAGAGAATGTCCATCCCTTAGTATTTTCACACGTTCAGAATAACAGAACAGAAGCTTCCGCGGGCTCCTTCCTGGCCCATTTTTTTTGCGAGCTTCAGTTTTCTTCCGTCCACCTGTCTTCCAGGTGAGGATTCTGCCCTTCCTTCTGTGATAAAACCCGCTTGCATTGCAGCCTTAAGGGGAAGCAAGCGGGGCCTCTTTACAGGCACCTCCCCTTAAGGTCCACACGGAGGGATTGTCCTCGCCTAAATGGCTTTAGCATGTGGCTGGGGCCATTCCCATATCCTTAGGCGAGCATTGTTTGCCGCAACCTTCAACTCGGCCCTTGAATAGCGCCTAGGGTGCCAGGAGGAAAACTGGCGGAAAAGGAAATGGGACTTGGACAGATTGTCTGGCCTGTGTTTCGGATGGCAGGAAGTAGGAACGGGGCCTACTCTCCTTCCTCTGCCTGGGGCTTCTGGTCCCAGGTACCCCATCAAAATAGCTCTGGTAATTTTCAGCAGCCCGGCTTCCTGTTCCCTGGCTGTAATGCAGCTCTTTCGGTTACTCAGAGCCGATTTTAGCGCCTTGTAAGTAACGGTCAGCAATGTCGGAAGTAGAGAACTGGGCAGAGAAAAAGAGATTTGGAGAGGATGAGCGCGAAGCAAAAACTTACATCGACGAAACAAGTTCTGGGCAAATTCTTACTCCTTTCAATGTGACTTGCAAATACAGATTCAGGAATTCAAACAACAACCACAATTATTTTGTTGCTCCTCTGCCTGGCATGACAATTTGCCCTAAAAGTAGAATAGGAATAGAATAGGGTAGAATAGAAATAGAATAGAAATAGAATAGAAATAGAATAGAAA